TTAACCATATAGAAAAATAAAAATTTAAATTTGTAGGAAAATATGAAAGTGGAAACCACGTGTTAAGTGAAATAAACTGCGCACAGAAATACAAATATCGCATTTTCATTTATGTGTAGAACATATATTTTTGGAATTATTCAACTACAAAGTAAGCCATGTGGACTAGTGAGAGGCAGAGAAGGGTAAGACAAATCAGAAAAATGGGGGAGTGAATATGAGCAAAATACATGATATGCATGTTTGAAATAGCTCAGTTAATTCTATACTTTTATATAATGGATATTAGTAAAAATAGAAATAAATTATATTATATACAGTGTGATGCTTTGAGAAATACATATGCCAAGAACTGGTGAAATGGAGCCAATTAACAAATTTATCACTCAAATAATCATTTTTTAATAGTGAAAACTTTGGAGTTTCAGGATGTAGAATATTCTTCTCACCTGAAGTTTCTTTTTGTATATGAGCAGTGCATTATTTGTATACCTCAAATTTTCTCTCTGTATAAATTAGTTTGACTCACAGAATTTTGTACAAATGTATTAATATATATTTCTTAGAACAATGTTTTTTGGCTTAGGTTTAATGAAGTGCTATTAGAAAAAGGTATTATATTAAATAACAATACTATGAATTCTGTTTCCAGTCTCATTTGCTGTAAATTGCATTGTTTCTATTTTCACTTTTATACAGAAAGACACTGAACACTCAGATATGAGTATTATTTTGAAAATAAACTTGTAGAAGTGAAAAATTTTCTGTTGTATGGTACACCCAAAACTATCAAAGTATTTCTGAAAATTGTATGCCAGTTTTTATTCATATTACCAAGAGACTCGGAACTTTTGCCTCTAACTGATGCACTCTGTGTTTTGTTTTGCTTTTGGCTAAGGAGATGCAGTGGAGCCTTGTTTTAGTTTATCGTTCCCGGTAACCAATTTTCTGAGCATATTTTCTTTGTGTGTTTTCCAGAGTGTCAGTAGAGATTCTCTTATAAACTGATAACACTTTGGCCCTTTTATGAATGGGCTATTTACCGTCTTATTTGGGGCCGTAAAAATTGTAGTTGTGAATACATGTGATGTTTTCCAATAATATCATTAGTTTTTCCCCCTGGCCCTGGCTTATATTTTCATTTTGTCTAGAATGTCTTCAGAAAAACAGTAGAGTTAGCTTTGATGACACAAAATTCATCAATATATGGCTCATTAATTGTGTCTATTTAGATTTTAAAACCCTTCTACTTTCATTTTACTACTAAATGAGAATTTTCTTTTTGTTCTGTGACTTCATAATTTTAAACTGCTTTTATGACAACACCTATTGTCCTACTTTAATTTCTGTTGCTGTGCTAAAATACCCTGACAAAGAGCATCTAAGGGAATAAAAGGTTTATTTTAGCTCACAATGCCAGGTTTCACACAATCACAGTACGGAAGTTAAGGCAGCAGGAACTTAAAATAACTTGTCACACCACACCTACAATATGAGGAGAGAGAAATGAGTGCTCACCTTCTCCACCTTCATCCAGTCTAGAATCTAAACCTCAAGGCGTTGTCAATCTCAAGCCTGGGAGCAGCTTAAGCTAAAGAAAATTATGATCTCACAGTTCTGAAGACTGGATAACTCAAAATCAATATGTTAGTAGGATATATTCTCACTTAGCTTAAAATGGATTTCTTCTGGTTGTGTTTTGAGAGCATGAGTTCTCAAATTTCATAATGCCAAGACCTTTTAATACAGTTCCTCATGTGTGGTTACCACCCCATCATAAAATTATTGTTATTGGTACTTCATAAGGTTAACTTTGCTAGTGTTATGAATCGTAATGTAATAATTTTGTTGACTTCCCATGGGGAGCCTTACCCTCTCTGAGAAGTTGAGGGTAGGGAAAGGTGGAGGAAGCAGGAGGAGGGGAGGGAGTGGGAACTGGGATTGGAATATAAAATGAAAAAAGATAGTTTTTTTAATAAATAAATAAATTAATAAATAAATAAATTAATTAAAAATAGGTATGAAATTGCCTGAAGTAGTGGCTCTGCTTCCTGTCTGGACAGCACACTACAGCTGACCTTGTTGCTGGGGGTGCAGGTGAGCCAGCCCCGAAGGCATGACAAGGGCGCTGACCCCACCCTCTCTTGTCTGCCAAGTGGTAGCACAGTTGAGGAAAAGATGCCCTCCCCTTCCACCCCTTTCTGTCCCTGGCAGGTGAGAGAGCTGGTGGCAGGGTCACAGAGTGAGAGAACCAGCCCTGCCCTACACCAGCTACAGCATATAGAAGAATGGGCCCTGCACCCACTCCTTGCTGTAGGTTACATTGGTGAGGTAGCCAAGGCAGTGTTGGAGAGCTTGACCAGGTAGTGAAGAGGAGGCAAAGCTACCACCCAGGCCCAGAACCAGGGCTATGAGTTGGCCCACCCAGCACCCACCTCATCTATGAATTGTTGGAGCATGTGAAGTGGCTGGATCTCTATGACACAGAAACCAGCATATCCAAGAGCAACCCCAGTGACAGAGCATTATCGGTGGTATCGCTGGAAACCAGAGGCTTCTAGCGAGACCAATGACTCATGGCAGTGAACACTTGCAATACAGATGAATGGACTAAATGGACGAACTGTATGATTTAACATACTACACTACAGCTTTCACGGTAAGATTCTTCTTTTCTTTCTTTTAAGTTTTGTTCTGATTTGTTACATTTGCCCTCTATCCTTGCAACCTCCCTAACAAATCAAAACCCGAATTAAAAAAAAAAAAAAGATAAAGGAGAGGTATGCACCACCCTGTCCAGCAACAGTAGTTCATGTTGTGTGCTCTCTCTTTCTTACTGTGTGATTGTCTGATTGTGTGTGTGCGTGTGTGTGTGTGTGTGTGTGTGTGTGTGTGTGCAGACACTAAGGGACAACTTTGGGTTTCATCCTCAAATCATTGATCTCCTTTGAGACGTGTCAGCATTATGCTGTCCTGACGTTATGGGTCCTAACAGAATACATCACCAACCACAACAACTCCCTATGTCCAAATGCTTGCTAGCATTTCAGGCATAAACTAGCCTGCCCCCAGGGTCTTCAGCTGTAGTCGCTGAAAGCATCCCCTGTGCATATGCATTGTCAGCATTCAGGCAGATGCCTGGACAGCCCAAGATCCTACGACCGACACCTAGTCAGTGTGTGTGTGTGTGTGTGTGTGTGCTTCATCGCTGGGCAGTCTCTGTGCACATGCACTAAACCTCCTTTAAAATCAAATTCTGCTCGTTCCACCTCCCTTTTCCAGCCGCTTCTCTGAATAGTCTGCAGGACTTATGTCTCTTCTTTCCCAGCCCTTCCCTTTTGCTAATAAATCTCAAACTTGAAAGGTTGTTGTATGGTGTGATTCGTCCTCACCGACAGTACCACTAAACAACCCAGGGTCTCTCACTGGCCCAGCCCACAACTTAGGTGGTGACCACAGATGCCCAGGTTTCCTCCTATTTCTGCTTCATTAATACTGTATTTCAGGGACGGACCACGATGCCCAAGGTTCTTTGTTTGTGTGTTTTGTTTTCATTATGTGTGTTATGGAATGAAAATTAGGTCTTCATTCTTATAGACAAGCACTTTATTAACTTATTTATCTACCTATTTGTTCCCCTATAACACTAATCTTTAGTTTAGTAAACAATATTTTAGATGAGTGAATCGTTAGAGAATTAACATCCCTTTTATACAATGTGATAACTTTTTAAAGCGGTGTACATGTCTAAAAATATTCTTTGTGTTAAAAATTTTATTTTCAATTGTTATACAGAATACGATCATTATTGTACCCTGAGTTTCTAGGCAGAAAGGAATAGATAGTTGGATGAGCTCCGAGTTACTAAGTAAACACAAGATTCAAGGTTCTTCAGGGAAATTAGCATGATAATGTAATATTTTCTTGGTGTAAAAGTACTTCATTCTGTGAAAATTACTGCAGTTGAGGGATTTTTGTTCTTAAATTTTAAGAGACATGTGACCTGTCTAAGATGAATATTATTAGAACCCAACTATACTTGAATATTTAAACATTTTATATGAGGAAAGTTATGGATTAAAGTTGATATGTTGTATACATTGGAACCTCAGTCGTAATTTTTGTTTAAGACTATGAATTAATTTGAACAGTGTGTTAAATCAGTTCCCACTTGGGAAGACTGATGCACTGGGACTCTGTCACATAGAAATTTTAAATCTAGGCTTAATATGTGGATCATTGGCTAGAGCACTCACTCAAGTAGGAGGCTTTGATTTCTGTTCTGATGTGGGAAAAAAACAATGCCCCAACTTAAGTCTTATATTAGGTGTATATTTTCCCAAAGAGGTATGAGGATTAAAAATGTTAATTTCATTGTCCGAAGCTCATGTATTATCATGTCTATGCATAATAATTGTGAGAAATCCATTCATTTCAAACATGTATGGTTATCAGCCATATTCTGTGATGCAAAAGTCAACCTATTTGTTTTATGACAATTGTGGCTAAGACAAAATTTGTTCAGTCATTTTGAATATTAAATTACTCAATAATGTTACCAGCATAAAATGTGGTGAAGACGTTGTGTAACTTATTTGAAACCTAAAATGTAATATATAATTTTTAAAACAGCACTTAATATCATTTTCTTTTAATAAATTCACAAAAATAATACAACCAAGGATACATTTAATTGCATAGGAATATTACTGCATGAAAATATGTCAAATTATTATTATAACATTTTAATACCTTACGTTATTATAATAGCTGGATATGCATGTTTGAGACTGAAATGAGTTTGACTGGGGTAATTAGCCTGTTATAATGTTATGATTAATAATACTTTTCAAATCATTAATAAGAAGCAGCAGGTATTTGTATTTGGTAGCTTTGACCTTTTATAAAGGTAATGTTTATATCTAGCAATGGTGGCCAGAAATATTCTCACAGGACTCTGTTACACACAGCTGCATTTCTGTCATGAAATTGGAACTTACCTTCCCGACTCAAAGGTGAACCACGTTGAATCCCGACCATATCTTCTTAGTGAGCTAAGAGGCCACATCACCAGCTTGACCTTGGCATTGTGGATATCCCAGAGATAGATATTCTCATGGGTGATCTGCATTGTGCATTCACCATAAATATCCAGGTTAGGTGTAGGCATAAGATAAACATTGAATCGTTCTACAAAGAAAGAAAAAGCACGGGGAAAATCAAGGAAGTGTCCTCACAGTCCTTGGCAACATTAATGTACACTGGAAAACATTACTTCTCTTTATTTTTTGAAGAGAGAAGTTCACTAAGCTATCATCGCTCATTCGTTCACTCTCATTGCATATTACTGTACTGTAGACAGAAGTTTGTCCCACCTGGCTCCACAGCCATTCAGTCCCAAACAAACACACAGAGGCCTATATAAACTATAAACTGTTTGGCCTGTTATCTCAGGCTTATTATTAACTAGCTCTTACAACTTAAATTAACCCATAATTCTTATCTATGTTTAGCCACATGGCTTGGCACCTTTTCTTAGTGGAGCATTTTCATTTTTCTTCCTTTTCTGGTCATCATGCCTATACTTTCCTACCTGTTTCCTGGCCAATTAGCACTTTATTAAACCAATACGAGTGACAAATCTTTACAGGTTAAAAGAGCATTATCCCACAGCATTGCATATATGCTTTGTAGTGAGGATTACACAATGGTTAAACTGTACCATTTAAACATTAGAGTAATAGCTAAGCAGAATCTCTTCCACATGATGCTTATTCTGCTTCCTAACATAGTCAACTGGTTGTCATAAACACAACCTTTTCAAGAAATCATGCCTTATCGATCGTCTATCTATCTATCTATCTATCTATCATCTATTTTCTATCTATCTATCTATCTATCTATCTATCTATCTATCTATCTATCTATCATATATNTCTATCTATGGATAAATACTACTGAATCAGTCTCACCTTTGTGGCCTGAAGTATTTAATGTACAATCAGAGTAACTCCCTAACTACAGAGACACTGCAAAATCATCCCATGTACACATAAAACAATATAGTCAGGGTCAAAGTTGGCATACAGTAATTGCAGATATTCATTACTACCTTCTACAAAACTTGAGACTGCCCTTAGTAAGCAATCTAAAGATATTTACTTTCTTTCACTCCGGTATATTTTATAGTTGAAAATTCTATTATTAGGCAGTAACTCTAAACCTTGCTTTGCAATTTTCTGTCCATCTCCAAGGATATTGCAAAGTTCTGCAGGCTTTGATTCCCATTTAAATGCATCGAATGCACTTTCAGAAACAATGGTTTGTAAGTTCCAGGAAGTAAAGAACGTATAAAGTGTTGTATAAGATAAGTGTGCTTCCTAGCCCCCATTTCCTTGGTTTATAGTAAGTGACTAATATCTATTTGTGAAGACATGTGAATAAAGACTAATACATAATGAATAGAGGTTGTGAAAATTGAGGCATTCTGAAAATAAATAACATGGTAAGTTCAAGAATTACTGGCAGAGAGCTCTCTGTACATTATAAGTAATTCTGAAGCACGCTGAAGAGGCAGTGTGGTTGAATTAATTACTTCGAAAAGTACACTGAGGCAGATGTTGTTAGAATATACATTTTGGAATGTGGTGCTATCTATCATAACACCATGTTCTTAAATACTGAAAGCTTACTGGTGCTCAGTGGGAATTGTCTGATTTATAAGATTGTTTTCTGGCAAGTATTTAACCAAGTAAGGATTCTTTGAGTCAAAGAATAATATTCGGATTTGAAGTGGGTTAAATTAACTTAAACATGAACGCTTGGACAATGATAGTCATATGACTGACATTTATACTCAGTTCTAGTTTTTTTGAAACAAAAGATAATATGTTTTAGTTTTTTACTTAGGTTACTGACCCATAGAACTAATATGTATATGGATTTCACATTAATTTCCAATAAGATAGCAATGGAGATCAATGTTATAGCTAACAATGAAGAACACTGCCCCATTAATTATCTTTAATGAAAAGGCATAAATATGTACTCATTCTATATATTTTGTATTAGTCTTACATGCAGCCACTCAAACAGGTCTATATAGGACTGAGATTAACCCATGTATAGCTATTTGTTTAAGCATGGGGGATGGAAAATAAGTGGAGTTTGCCATTGGAGAAGCAAGAATCAGAGACTCATATAGCAAGTATAAATAAGCAGAATACAGGAAAAAATTTTAGCCAAATTTAATAATACTGTTTTATTATTGTTCACTCTAATAGAAAATATGCACCAAGGCAAATAGTAAATTTCCATGAACCTTCTTTCTTTTTTAAAATTAATATTTTATTAATTCTTTTGAGAATTCCATACAAATTATTTTCATGACATTTCTTTACAACTTCTCCCCTTTGCAGATCCTTCCAGATCCTTATAGACGCTCTTTTTAATTTTTTTGTTTAATAACTCATTAATTCCAGTTTGTGCTGCTTTTATACTCTGGGAGTGGGACCATCCATTGGACTGTTGTTGACTACCAGGAGTTACACTAATGAAACCGACTCTTTTCCCAGAAACTCTTCTGTTAGGAGGATCATTAAGCCTTTCTTCTTCCATGCTAAAATGTGACTTGGTCTGATCTTATGCAATTCTTGTAAGGACTATGACAGCTGATATGAGTTCACAAGTGTAGTAGTTCTCTTTTGTCTACAAGATGCTGTTTTGTGTCAGTCATTCTGAACAGCTAAGTCTTAATCCCTTGGAGAGGGATGTAATACAGACGCTTCATTGTGGCTATATACTGCACAGTCTTTTATTCACCATTCTCTAGCCAGTTGTGAGTTTCTGTACTAACCACCATCTACTGTACAAAGAAATTCCTTTGATAATGTCTGAGAGCTGCACTAGACATAGGTAGAGAGATGTAAATTTGGAAGGCAGTTTTATACCATGTCCAAAGCTCAAACTGTTCTTCCTTCTACCTCTTCCCCTCCACATGGTACCATGATAATTGCAATTTTTAGAAGAAATATAAAACACAGAAAATATTAACAGACCAGAAAATAGACACATCGGATTAGTCAAATTTATTGTTATAAGTTGTATTTTCAAAAAGATGCTTTTGAAAATTTCAGGTACACAGCATGTTACAAAATCTAGTGTACTTGTCATAACATGGTGGCTCCATTAGTTTGCCTTTGCTGAAATAAATTTGAAAATGTTCATTGGGTGTCAATGCATTCTCTTTTTTCAAAGAAGGTTCCTTTTATTAGCTGATTGCTGGTAACTTTTATCCACTCTATCCCATCTTCCCTTTTTGTTCAGAGTGGTGGACTTGTATATTATGAAATGTAACACTAAGTATCCTGCCTATCTAGAAGCCAGGAGATGCACTAATGTTAAAACATCACATTTCTACAGAAATTGGTTAAATCTAATAATTTACAATAATTTACACCTATGAATCTTCTTATATTGGCATTATATTTCCCACTTACAATTTAAATGGTGCTCAGAAACGTAAGTTTCATAAAATAAAGCACAACTTAGATCTTAGGTTTTTGACTATTCTTTGTATTAAGTTTCATCTGTAGTTCCTATTCTTCCTAACACTGAATTTTAGTTCCATAATTTCCCTCAGACAAAAGCAGAACCCACATTTATTTTTAAGAACTATGTGTTTTATTTATAAAGATAACTAAGAATTATGTACATTTATATAAATAAACTAGTTATGAAATGACTAATTTTGACTATGTAACCAGAAAACTTGATGCTTTTGAATTTTACGAATTTTTTCTATTAACCTGTGATTATGTGACGTGAAACTCACTATTTTTACATCTCTCTTAATAAAATACCTCTAAAGAATTAACAAAGATTATTTATAAAAGAGAACATGTAAGTTAAATTTATTCCTTTAATTAGTTCAAAAACAGATGCTGATTGAGCATGATGTATTTTTTAAAAAAGAGTTTATTTTCCCCTGCCACTGCTCCAGAACAACTATTATTATCCTCTTCTTATTCCTGATGTTTCCTGCAGCACATGTTCATTTTCTTAGTTCACTGTCAGTCATGAGGATAGATTCATCTTCAGGCCACTAATGACTTAGTCACTGTGATCTGGTCGTAACATATTATCCTCCCTTCTCTCAGGGGAAGTCAATGGCTTGGAACTCAACAGATAGCCATTATCATTCACTTCAACATCTTAATTCTTCTCTAACTTCCTTATGTGGGGATATCTGTCTTGGGAAAGGAAATAGACAAAAGGAGAATCCATGCTGACTTCTTACTACTATTGGAGGTTTGCTTCTGTGTTGCTGTATACCTAATAATGAGCAACTCAGGAATTGATGGTCCTTTGGAGGGTATGTAGAATCATCACAACATCCAGACCCTTGTAGGATAGTTCACCCTAATGGAGGGTTCTCATTTGCACACAGGTTCTGCAGTCCAGACTTGTTCTTTGTCTATATTCGGGATTCCCTGTCTTCAAAAGATACTTTTCAAGGCTAGGTAAGTATCCTGTTGTGGATCATAACAAGATGAGTCAAGGGAGGCTAACCGTAAGCATCAGTTGTTTTCCAAGAAAACACATGCTTGATGGATGCAATCAGTGTAGAAATGCGGTTCATTGGATGATCAGCATCCGTGTATTTGAATATCCTGAAGAGCTGAATCTCCTTTTAATCCCCAGAACTTAGATACATCATGGGGAAAACAGATGTCACTTCAGTTCCAATTACAAGTGCTTTGGAAACTTAGTCTGGCATTCTGATTTGTAGGACCTCTGCATTTCCAGCAGTCTCCCATTGCCACTGACATCCCCAAACTCTACAGATGTCTTCTGCCTTTGTGGGGAATGGAGTGCCCACACTTTCTCATAAAAGCTCTCCATAGAATTGTGTTCAATAATCCTCCAGCCTGTTCCAAATAATTACTTAGTATTTTCTCTTATTAGACACAGCTCTGTGGCTGCCAGATATTTATGAATCCAGAACTGCCATTCTAGAGTTGTTATTTCAGAATTGTGAGGTAGCACTTGCAAACATACTTTTGTAAGAATACAAAACCAATAAATAATATAGTCAGTACTATCTAAGCAAAGCTTCAGGTACTGGCGCAGTATGATCCACCGAGGAAAATGTCAACGTGAATCTATAGGAACAACTGAGCAAAAACTTGAGATTTATTACAGATATCCAAGAATTTGGTCCACTCCATTGTGTAATACAGATTGCTTTATTTAAGTTACATGAAGTGCTAAAGATTTAAATGTAACCTCGTCTTACACAGAGGAAATAAACACACTGCAAGCTTCTTCTATTTTACATATTATTTTAAATTTTCTACTGTACAGTGATATTGGAATGGACACCATTTAATTCAGGACCATAAGGAACTGATATGCAATGAGGAATTTTATGATTGTATATCTAGATATATCCTTAAATAATTAGCAGTGAAACAAAAACATGATTCATGCTTCTTAAAATTTATAGAACTCTTTAGAAAATGTGATTCTATCCCTACTTTAACTAGAAGTTTATCAAAATTTATTTGATTGTAATGTGGCTAGAAATTGCACATCCTGTTGCAATGTGCTCAATGCACAGACTTCTGCAAATGGGAATACTGGAATACCTGCATTTTTAAATTAATCACTAGCATTTAAAATTCTTACTGAATTTATAGTCCCAAATTTTTCAAAGCTTGACTACTGATATAATTTCCAAGTAAATCAAATTTATTTTGGTAACTATGGAAAATATTTTAAAATAAAAATCAGTTATTGTTATTCATTGTAGAAATAATTAACCCTCATTAGAGTGCACATAAATATGTGAACATAGTCATACAAATTGTTATTATTCTGAATATAAAATATTTAGCATTTTTGTTACAGTTGTTATAGAATATGCTCTTTCACATGCTATTATTCCCTGAGAATAAAGTTCTTAATAAATGTAATGTTTCACTCTATGGCTATGCTTTAACTTATGTAGTGATTATTCATCTGAAAAATCCTGAACTTAAAACAGCTTTTACTAATATAATTAAATTGAGAAAATAACTTTGATCTCAATTTAATAAATAACTCACTTTGTTTTATTTCACTGTTAGGATTTACTTTATGCTTATATGTAAAGTATAGATGGATTTAAACATTCTTGATTATGATTATCATATACATTGAACATTGAAATATGAATCATTTGGCTAAATGCCAAAAATTTCAAGAATTGCTTGACAGCAGAATTCATATATATATATACATATATATTCCTATATATATTCATTTAAATTACTTGATCAGGTTAATTAAAAGAAAGTGTTGTTTCTTTTCTTGATTTGTAATTCTGTAATATGAAGTCTTTTCATTACCATGTTTATGATAAATATCTTAGCTCATATTTTTATTAACTTTCCCATGTCATTTAATTAAGGGATGTAGAAATTAATTTTAATGTCATTACTTTTTATAAAATTTTCTTGATTTTTGGAGGATTGTTCCATTTGTGACATATGAATGGAATGTTTATATCTTTTGCTCTGACAAAATACACTGGGGCACAGAATATTGCTGTCACCTCAGGATATTTTTCTTCTCCACCATGTTCTAGCTGTTCATCACTCACAAGTAAGTACAGCTCTGATTTCTAGCACTTGGGATATTTTTGCCTATAATAGTAGGTTCTTGTGAATTGGCAGAAGCCAGCTTTAGCAGAGTGCTAATTTCCTCCATCTGTGAATTCCTTTTTTATTTACTTCACCTAAAAATATTATGGTGATTTTGGCATTCATAAATTTGATTTTTTTGATGAATTCTGGCTGATTTCTTTTTATAGTCATGCGTTAGTGTAAGAAAGAGTTGTCTTTAATTGCACCCATATTAAATCAAATGTTGAGTGTGTTATAAACCAAAGTACAGATAGCATCAGATTCCAACTTAGTGAACCAATGGGTTTTATCATGGTTACTTACAAAAATATGGTGAAGGGTTACTTACAGGAGCAGTAATAACTGATAGTCAGCTGCATCACCAAAACATACCCTAGAAGGGGTGACAGCTCACAAAACCTGGGCACCTGCTTCACACTTCACAGGTTGCAGATATTTCAAGAGGTTGGAGAGTGTCTTTCCAACTGATCCAGTTGATCTAAACATCTTCCAGGCAGCTGGTCTGGTCTCGGGGCTTTCTTTGCAGGTTGACTTGCCTGAGAGTCTTCTTTGCAGCTTGGTCACACTGTCAGGGCCACTCGCAGATTGCTTACTCTGTCACAGAGGAGCCTAGTGAATTTTATCATTTTGAAGGACTTCCTGAAACTATTTTGAGCTGTTTACCTTCTTGATTAACCCTGCGGGATGGATTGTTTCAATCTCAGAGGAAACTATTGTATGACAGAGTCATATGATGTTCTATACATGCATGTCATCCTTCTAGGACAATTTATTGTTTTTAATGCCTTACTATTCTCTAGGCATCTGAAGAAATGCTTGTGATCTGGAGTCTAGGAAATCTGAAAAATTTAAAGCTAAAAATGCCTATTTATCGTGCTCTCTTTCTCTCAGCAACATTGTTGGAGGTCAGGGAATAGGTTTGTTAGAGAGGAACACACACGCGCGCGCACACACACACACACACACACGAGAGAGAGAGAGAGAGAGAGAGAGAGAGAAAGAGAGAGAGAGAGAGAGAGAGA